TTTTTTGTGAATTTTTTTTTGTTTTTTTGGGTAAATTTGGGGTAAATTTGGAAATTTTGGTTATTTTGGATTCATTTTGGTGCAAATTTTCATTATTTTGGGGTAATTTTGGGTTAATTTGGGGCAAATTTATAATTTTTTGTTATTTTGGACTCATTTTGGGGTAAATTTATGTTATTTTGGGGTAAATTTGGGTCATTTTGGGACCTTTTGGGGTAAATTTGTAAATTTTGAGACATTTTTGGGGTCATTTTGGTCTTTTTGGGTCATTTCAGGGTAAATTTGGGTCATTTTGGGACCTTTTTGGGGTAAATTTATAATTTTTAGTCATTTTTGGTCACTTTGGAGTCACTTTGGGTGACAATTCACCCTAAAATCCACCTGGGAAACTCCAAATCCCCCAAATGCCTCAAATTTCCCCAAAATTCCTCAAATTTCCCCCAAAATCCCTCAAATTTTCCCCAAAATCCCCAAAATTTTCCCAAAATCCCTCAAATTTTCCCCAAAATTCCTCAAATTTCCCCCAAATCCCTCAATTTTCCCAAAATCCCTCAAATTTTCCACAATCCCTCAAATTTTCCCAAAAATCCCCAAAATTTTCCACAATCCCTCATATTTTCCCCAAAATCCCTCTAATTTCCCCAAAATCCCTCAAATTTTCCCCAAAATCCCCAAAATTTTCCCAAAAATCCCTCAAATTTTCCCAAATTTACACCAAAATCCCCTCGGAAACCCCAAAATCTCCCACATTCCCCTCAAATTTTCCCAAAAATCCCTCAAATTTTCCCAAAATCGCTCAAATTTTCCTCCAAAATCTCTGAATTTCCCCCCAAAACCCCACTCAGAACCCCCAAAATTCCTCAAATTTTTCCAAAATCCCTCAAAATTTCCCCAAAATCCCTCAAATTTTCCCCCAAATTCTTCAAATTTCCCCAAAATCCCTCAAATTTTCCTCAAATTTCCCCCAAATCCCTCAAATTTCACCAAAATCCCACTCAGAACCCCCAAAATCCCTTAATTTTCCCCAAAATTCCCTGAATTTTTCCCAAAATCCCTCAAATTTCCCCCAAATTCCCACTCAGGACCCCCAAAATTCCTCAAATTTTCCCAAAAATCCCTCAAATTTTCCCCAAAACCCCACTCGAGACCCCCAAAATTCCT